GCTCCGGGGCTGTAAGGTGGCTGGCTGGACCTGGATTTCGTGATTGTGTGTGTCTTGTTTGCATGTCTCGCGCTTGTTTGCAGTGTGCGACATGTTTTCGCAGTCAACGAGAGCTTGTCCATTGTTCTTCGCATGTATTGTTCCTTTTCCCTTGCTTGATACGACTGATGCTTAGACGAACTTCGTCGCCCGTTCATGTATCTACTTAAAGGAGTGAAGGACTCAATGCATGAATGAGGCTTCGGCCTTTACCTGCCTCACTGCAAATTCACTTATTCTTAGAACACGAAGATGTACACAGATGTAGGTACTTATATAGCAGAATGAGTGAGGCTATGCTTCGTCCTCATCTTCATCGTCCTCCCCACCCTCGTCCTCAGCAAACTGGTGTACGCGCATACATGAAGAGCTAACTGCAAGAAAAAGTGCTGTTGCGACGAACAGACCCACGGCAGACAGAACACATACATGAGCCATTCGGCGCTGATCCTATTGACTTCTGTGATGTCATAGTAGGCCTTGATAGTAAAGCTACACATAGCGAGGCCGATCAGCATGATTTGAAGCTCCAAGAAAGCCGATACCATGCGACGACGTAGAAGCTGCTTCTTGGAGCTTCCTTGCCCTCCCTCGGTTGCATTGTCATCGGAAGGGATATCCTTGATGACACCCCCAAACTCATCACGAACTGCCCTGGCTCTCAACTCTGCCCAGGTCCTGACTGCAATTTCGTCGGCATTCATGCCCTTGGAGACGTCGACGTCACCTTTCCCAATGGCACGCAAGCGACCTGGTCCATCCCGGACGGCGAGCCTGGTCTCAAGGTAATCTACGAAGGAGGGGCCATCCTGTCTTCGGACCGGCCGTCCGGCGGTGGTTCTGACCACGACGGACGACCTGACTGCCTACGCAAGCGTCACGCTGCATCCCGCAATGAAGAACTTCCAAATCGATGGCCGTTTGGAGCTTCTCATCGCCGACAAAGCCGTGAAAATACCGGCGCCTGGCGGGGGTGAAACCTCGGACCGTGAAATCTCGGCCCCTAGCTCTCGGTGTTGCATGGCGGTATGCTGCATTGAGCTGTAGGTTTACAGTGATTTGTTGTACGTACGTCGGGGTGGCCTCTGTGTGTGTGGGCGGGTAATGTCTGGTGATTTGTCTCCTCAACGGACAATGGACCGGCCAGAATGCTCTGTTAGCCGTAAGAATTAGATACGACAGCCAGGCGATGAGTGAGACAGGCAGCCAAGGCGGCGCTTTGTCCATTTCTTCTATGTCTGTCGGGTGGATTTTTTATGGTAATTATTTGTCAGCTCATTGCTTTTTGTTTGTCATTCATCATGTGCGCACCCCTACGCATGCACGTGTGGACTTGGAGTGTGTATATATGATGAATGTCTAACTTGGAGTGCGTGTATATGATCAATGTCTGACTTGGAATGTGTGTATATGATGAATGAGTCTCTGTGCGCAAAGCTGCGCATGCACGTGTGGACTTGGAGTGCGTGTATATGATGGGTGTCTGTGTGCGCACCCCTGCGCATGCACGTGTGCGTGCACGTGTGGACTTGGAATGTGTGTATATGATGAATGAGTCTCTGTGCGCAAAGCTGCAGATGCACGTGTGGACTTGGAGTGCGTGTGGACTTGGAATGTGTGTATATGATGAATGTCTCTGTCCGCAAAGCTGCGCATGCACGTGTGGACTTGGAGTGCGTGTATATGATGAATGTCTGTGTGCGCAAAGCTGCGCATGCAGGTGTGGACTTGGAGGTGTATACGATGAATGTCTGTGTGCGCACCCCTGCGCATGCACGTGTGCATGTACGTGTGGACTTGGAATGTGTGTATATGATGAATGTGTCTCTGTGCGCAAAGCTGCGCATGCACGTGTGGACTTGGAGTGCGTGTGGACTTGGAATGTGTGTGTATGATCAATGTCTCTGTGTGCAAAGCTGCGTATGCACGTGTGGACTTGGAGTGCGTGTATATGATGAATGTCTGTGTGCGCACACCTGCGCAAAGCTCCTTGCCCTCTATGAACGTTATGAGCAAAACGAGATGAGTGAGGGGGAGTACAACAGATTCGGTGCGGCGATGGCTGAGCTCGAGGTCGAGGTGCTGAAACTCACGAAGAGCGTGGAGAAAGAGTGGGGCGTGCCAGTCCCAACGACGTCAGCCGGATCTCAGCACTTGGGCGGGCTTTCTGCAAGGGATTCACGGACCAGGCGTGCTATCCGCTGTCGTAATCGAGTGGCGGCAGTGGAAGCAAGTGTGAGGCCGTGCTTTTGCGGCCTCGAGATGCCAATCTGAAGGTCATGGTGCCGACGGCAGCGAGTCAAAGTCAGCTGCTGGTGTACACGTCGATGGGCAGGCGTCGGGATATGGATTGTGCGATCGTCAGCGGGCTTGTGCCGGTGGAGCAGGAGTGGATTGAGGAGGCCTCGCGTGACGGGAAGTGGTGGCCCGAGTGCAAGAGGCACTCGACTTCCGACAGCAGCACAAATCGGGCAGTTTCGAGTCGCAGGTGGACGGGCCGAAATCGAAATCTCTCATCTTCGACAAGCTCAAGCGCCCGCTGATCGAACGAGACTTCGCCTTCACTCGCATCACCAGGACAGCAAGGCCGCAAGACGGCAACGCAGCAGCGGCCAGTGGGCAGAAGGCAAAGCCGCTCACCGTTTTCGTCGTCACTGCCCCCGAGCGTCACATCGCCCGTCTGACTGAGCGGATCAGCAAAGACCTCGAGTCTCTCGGCATTCAGGAGGGGAGCATTCCCCTGCCGTCCATCCGTCTGGAAAAGGACCAGATTGACGGGTTGATGAATGACCTCAAGGAGAAAGTCACCGACATGCTGGAGCAGACCTTCAAGCACCTCTCTATCGACGTCAAGAGCACCACGAAGGTCTGGAAGAAGCAGAAAGAGATCGGCTTCTGCTGCCTGGCTTTGATTTTCCCCTTCCTCGACCGGCGAGCCAAGTACCTGATGGCCAGACTGACTGGTGGCGTCGACGAGGAGCCGCCCGCGCTCTCGATCCAGGCTGCTGAGGCTTCCATCGCTGCGGCGGTCCAGTCGTCTGATTCCGGCTACGGATACAGACAGAGCGTGCTTGCGGACTCCGGCCGCGACTCGGCTTCGATCGCGTCTGACTCCCGCGTGTCTGCTTCAGTGTGGAGCATCGCCCACTTTGTGACCCACCACGTACGTATGACAGATACTGCACACATATGCAGACCAGTAAAGGGCAGTCGGTCACGTGTAAATGTATGTGTCCATCAGACGCAGCTATTCATTTACGGAGGCTATTTGCGCGACTTTTTCATCAGGGGGGACGTGCACGGGGAGATGCACCTGGACGTAGGTTTCGATTCTCAACACGGCAAGCCGCCTCGCCCTCAGCTGTCGCCTCCGCTGCCAAACATGGCTGAAGCCAGACGAGAATGGGGTACGTATCAGCTACCACTACGACCGCGTTGTTGTCACTGTGTTGTTTCTTTCCTTTCCGACAGACCGCGTTGTCGAGTGGGGGAAAGAGTCCGGTGTGTTCAAGCAGGTGTACCGTGAGACTCGGTCGAAATTGGAGGTACGCAGAATCTCCCTCTGTGACAGATGGATAAGGGAGGAAACCTTGCCGCGTATCAGGTTCTTACAATCGTTGCTGGCGCGGACAATCAGACACGGCTGCAAGTCGAGTTGGTGGATGTGGCCAGCTGGTACGTCACAAGCAGATCTTCTCTCAATCATTCCTTTCATCGTGCGAAGTGTGGTTGGCTGGTTGGTGTCAGGCGAGAGAAGACGCCTGTGCCGGATACGGACGTGAATGCGCTAATGCTGGGAAGCGATGGGAAGCTGGCCCTCAAGCATTCATCGCCCCCTGAGCGCCTAGTGGAGCTCTGCGGGTCGGTGCAACGAGTCGTGGCGCACATACTGCAGCGTGCGCGTCATCAACCATGCCTCGTTCCACCAGCAGAGGCAGGACAAGTTCAGGCAAAGAGGATGGAACATTTGTTTCTAGATAACAAAAGCGTCTTCTAGACAATGTGTCACTAGTCTCGTGTCCAAGAGGGCTTGCGTGTATGTATGCATGTATGCGCGTGTGCGCAGTAAGTTTATCTGTATGTCTGCACGTGACTAATCTGATTAGCCTGCGTGACTTGGGGTTCTTGTTGCTTACGTATGTATGGAGTCCTTATCCATGTGGTTCTGTGTGTCCCTGTCATGTGCATTCCCTGTCATGTGCATGTCTAGTCTTGCCTTTCTCCCTAAGATGTCGTGCGGTAGTGACGAAACTGCATAACATGTCTGTCTGAGAAGTGCATGACATTGCTTAACGTGTGTGTATCCTGCCAATACGGCCTGTCGGAAACATGCGTCGGGCTGACGTGTGATGGGAGGAATACCTAAGATGTCTTTCGTGCATGCATGAACCACCCTTCTTGTCGCTCGTGATGACAGCTCGGTGCATGTAAGCCACCATAGATGGTGAAACGTCCTCCCTGCGATAAGTTCAATCCCCGGACCATCACCTGCGAGCTGAGCTTGCACGTCCTCCCGAGATGGCTGAGGCTCTGCTTCGGCGGGGCAAGTACGAAGAGGCTGTGGCAGCAGCACAGGCGGCAATCGAGCAGCTGAATGCTTCACCTGACTCTGCTGATGCTGCTTTGCTTCGTCTCCGTCGTCGAGGGCTTGTGTGCATTATCGTCAAGGCGCGGCTGCGATGCAAGACCTTCTCGGAGGCCATTCAGCACATCAAACCACTGCGAGAAATGGGACAAGAAGATCAAGCACAATGGACAGAGCAGATGGCGGCACTGGAGAAAGAGCTGAGCGATACCGAGCGACCAGATCAACAGACGGCCGACGCCACTCATTCGTCTGCCCGCGTGCTGCCAGCTGAGCTGCTGCTGCTCGTGGAGTCATTGGTTATCCATGCAGACCTCCTCGACGCACTTGGGAGGATCGGTGAGGCAGCGGAGAGGTGCGAATGGCTGTTTACTGTGCTGCACCTTATGAGCACGGCATGTCCCACGTCAACAGCTGGCACATCGTCACAGAACAGCGTGCAGGACACCGACAGGGATGGGTCGACGAGGGACCACCGCTATGAGGGTGCGTCCGCTGTCGTCGAGAACGTCGCCTTCATGCCGGCCTACCACTAGCGGATTTTAAGGAAGGTGAGATGCGGAGAAGAGGAACCGCCTCGCTGGCCCGCCATTGTGTGTGTTCGTTGGGCTGGGCAGGCGAGCATGTGACAGTCAAGATAGAGAGCTCGCATGGTCGCCAGTTTGCGAGCGGGACTGCTAGTGTGGCGGCCACCACCAGTACGGATGAGGGGCAGACCGCACGAAGGAGGAACCCATACTACAAGACAGCGTTCTGTTCAGACTACATGGGGCCCCAGGTGCGTGTGATGGCTTGTGTCAAGGTCGATTTAATGGTGTGGTGTGTTCTGTCTTGATGGTTGTTTCGTCATCGGGGTAGGTGTCCAGCTGGTGCCTTCTGCAAGTTCGCACACGGAACACGAACTCGAGCCAAAAAGTATGAGTTGGTTTACCTGTCCTTGCCAAGTGCTTGCTCACTTGCGTTGTCTGTCTGTATTGTGGCGTGCAGTTCAATACGTTACTATGAAGCTGGATAGCGAGTTGACATCCGGCGGCATGAGCCCTTCTGCCGTGTCCACAAACGGCCGATCGACACCTTCGCAAGGCAATGCAGCACCCGCACGTAGATAGAGGGACGTGTGCCATCCAACGCCTCCGTACAGAAGTTTTGCATCCGTTCCCTTTCGTCCAGTGACGTTTGAGCAGAACACATGTGACTGGCGCTTCAGTTTCTGCCCGCATGGCCAAAGGTGTCGCAAGAACCACTTTGAGGAGCTGTAAGGCACCAACATCATCTGCAATCGGCCACGCAAACATCCTTTGTCTGTCACTGTGTCCATCAGGCCAGGCATGCAGCGTTTGGACGCGCGATCTGCCACATCCTTCGGGGAGATGACCAGCACCGAATACACACCCGTGAGTGCTGACGTGGCGTTCGTTGTGACGGAAAAGGAGCAGAGGAGCATAGAAGCCATATTCAATGTGACGCTCGAAGTGACAGGTCAGGAAGAAAACCGAGCAGACGAAGATCAAGTCAGTAATGTGTGTGCGTGTTTGGTCCCCCATCAGAGCCTGTGTTGGGGAGCCAATCGCAATGGCGCCTACATGGCCCACTTGAGAGGGTCACGATCGCTCAGCGCTACATCTACTGTGAGTCGAAGGTCGCCCAGCCTGACACCTGCCCGCAGGATTTGCTGCAAGAGCTCGAGAACGACCCGCACGTCACTCTCCTACATCTGACAAAGACAGCAGTGGAGCACATCAACTGGTCCAAGACTCAGAATGTCTTCCGTGTCTCACTCTGCGGTTGACGCCTGGGACGACGCTATCCTTGGTCATCTTCGGCTGCAAGTGAGCCGGGGGAGCTAGACAGCAAAACCAAGTGACCCTGCTGGCTTCATATCTCTCTCTCTCTCTGTGTGTGTGTGTGTTTGTGTGTGTGTGTTTCGTTCGTTCGTTCGTTCGTCCGTTCAGGTCGGCTCGGGTGTGTTGCGAGCTGCAAGTGCAGCATCTGGTGGATAGGAAGAGTCCAGGCGCATGTGTTGACTGGCTCAAGAAGGACGTCAATGTGCTGCAGGATGACGCCTTTTGCGTCGATTCCGTGAGCATCCCGGTCTGTTTGGTGTTGCCACTGTTCGGCTCTGCTGGCGATCGCCTGCTCAATCTCCAGCGGGCATCAGGGTGCTCGCACGTGACGATCATCGGCTCATGTGTCTTCTTTTCTGGTGCGCTGAGCCACAACCCGCGATGCTTGCCCTGACGCATTGTTGGCTGTGTCGTTTGTTGGCTGTGTCGTTTGTCAGGCTCCAAGGACGAGCGCGAGAGGGGCAGTGTGTACCTGAAGGAGCAGCTGGTGTTTCTCGAAGACCCAACAGCCTATACGTGCAGACAAAACGTGAGGGACGAGCACAGGCGAGTCCATTTCGTGTGTTCCATTTCGTGTGTGTTGTTGCTGGTACGCAGAGCTGGTCAAGCGGCCTGCACTTGTGCCACATCTTTCCATCGCGAAGGACGGGGGGTTGATGAGTGAGCTGAGTGCCATCGAGGGCGAGACCTCAACGATGATCACCTTCCGAACCATCGCCAAGTAAGGCAACCCAGATGCATGCCTGTAGCTGCATTTGTCCTGCAAGTCTGCATGCGCACACCTGCGCATGCACCTCGGACTTGAAGTGTGTGTATCTGATGAATGTCTGTGTGCGCACCCCGCATGCAGGCTTGGACTTGGGGTGTGTGTATATGATAAATGTTGTTGTGCGCACACCTGCGCATGCACGTATCAACCTGGAGAGTGCATATGATGAATGTCTGTGTGCGCACCCCTGTGCATGCACGTTTGGACTTGGAGTGTGCGTATATAATGAAGGTCCCAGTGCG